GCCGCCGGCGCATCACGCGCGGGCGGCTCCGCGGGCCCCGGGTTTGCCGTCGTGTTAAGGTGGAAACCTACATCCTCAGGTTCTCCCTCCGCCCTCCCTCCACCGTGGCATGACGCACCCTCCCCGCCCTCGTGCTCCCCAGTCGTGAGCTCCTCGTCCTCCTCTGCAATGGGAGGCAGCGGCTGGGGGTGCGCGGTCGGGGCGGCGGGCACAGATTGCCAGGTGAAGTTGCGAGTTGTGATCGCTTGTCGTTTTTCGTTCAGGATGCGCACGCAATCACGGCTTGTGTTGATTCCAGGGCCGAGGTAAAAACACTTTTTTGCTTTCGGCTCTGACTTGTGCGTGCGCTTGACCTTGTATACGGCGGGTTTGAGGAACGGGTACGTCGCCTCTGGGGGAGGTGGGTGCCCGTGCCACATTTCGTACGGCGATTTCTTGTCCGGGTTGGATGTGGTGGAGGTGCAGTTAAGGGCGTTGCATGCCCAAGCTGTAGCTTCGGCCCAAAGGGAGGGGTAGCTCGGCGCTTCGGGGTAAAGAATCGGCGCTTGTATGCGCGCGGCTAGTGCTGCATCCTTGATCAGTCCCAGTGCTCTCTCAGCTACACCGTTGTATTCTGGGCTGTATGCGGGGGTGAACTCCTGCTTGATGCAGTACTTGCGGCACAGCTTTCCGAACTCTCCCTCGAAAAACTCTCCTCCGTTGTCAGACCGCACGACCATGACCTCGGATGGGGCTCCGTCTGCCCGGTTTTCCGCTAGGTATCTCTCGAATGCTTCTGCAGCGTCTGACTTGTTTTTCAAGAAGTAGACGCGGTTCCACCTCGTGCAGTCATCCCTTACAATGAGAGTGTACCACTTCCCCCCCAAGCTCTGCACCCTTGCCCTCCCACTCAAATCCACAAAAACTCTCTGCAGCTTCTTAACTGCACGGGTGGACGTCCTGTTGGGGATGGGCTTGGATAGCCCCTTTGCCGTCGAGCACCCCATGCACTCCCGGAGCTGGCCCACCAGCGTCACCCCTTGCTGCTTCGCCGTGTTCTTCAGCAGCACCTCGTGGGAGTGGCCGTGCGCGCAGTGGAAGTCGTTGATGTCAACGGGGGTGCGGTTCGCTTTCGCGTTACCAGGAGCAATCATGGCACAGGCTAGTTCCCTACCTGAGTCTTTCCGGTGACTAGTCTGAACGAACAGGTCCCCCCATAGAGGGAAGTACACCGACTCCCCCCCACCAACGAACACCTCCAACTCACGCTCGTCTGCGGCTAAGCGGCCCTTGGTTTGCTTCAAAAGGGCTGTGAGGGACACGAGGTTGTAATTCAGCTCCGGCACATGAGCGACCCGTTTCAACAGCAGGTCTGTGGTCCCAACGCGAGAACCGATGGTCACCCTCACGTCGCCGTAGCCTACTATGGCGAAGGCTTGCTTCCCTGCGGCGACACTCAAACGTCGATCGCACTCATGGTAGTTTTCGAACGCGTTAGCGCTCGGGAACATGTGGTTGGTTGCGCCGGTATCGGCCACAAACCTTTCCTGCCTGGCCTGCTCTACACCCCCTCGAGCAACGACTCTGTTCCACTCGCCTGTGAAGTCACAGACCAGTAGCGCCTTCTCTGCCACGTCCAGTGCGGTGGCGTCCAAGACCGGCAGTTCCACCGCG